AGAGAGAGAGAGAGAGAGAGAGAGATTCTTTAAAACAAGATCGTAAAATTGAGGAAAGCATTAATACCTAATATTAATCAGCTATGCAGTAGATGGAAATAAGAGTTTTTGTGGTTTAACTCCTCTGTAAACACAGTCGGGTGACTTTTACTTGCAGAACCTGCGAAGTGTAAGTTTGCCTCCAAAAAAGATTAGCCAGCTGCGTTCGTGGAGAACCTTAAAACTCCCGTAACAACCTAATCCCATAAAACACCCCTTTTGGGATTCGAACAAGGGCCGTCCGCATCAAAGACAAGCCTGATATTAACTGATTAATTGGTGCACTCAACTACTGAGACGAAGACGTAGTAAGAGGCAGATGAAGAAATTTTAAAAGATACAACAACAACAAAAATACACAGGAGATGAAAAAAGGAGAGAAAAGGGGAAAGGGTGGGGGAGGGGGAAGGTAGGTGCGGTCAATCTCATTTTTTAAATGAAAGTTGAAAGCAATGTCTGACAGAACACGTGTCTTTTCGAAGACATCCCAATATTACTGACTGACGAGAGGACACGTGGCTGGGATCCGAACCTCCGAACTTCCACATACTTACCAAGATCATAAGGAAAATTACCAGCACAGCAGCTATCAGGCTGCTATTGAAGAGGTGTAGAAGTGCCAGATTTGGGATGAAGAAGGAGGGCACCACGGAGGAGCCAACGCAATACCCCTTTGCTGACAACATGGAGAAACCAAAAACCATGAAATTTTAATGTTCAGTGTATCGATACTAGCATTTCCTATACGGTAAGCCCAAGTTTCACAATGGGGGTCTGACAGACCCCAACAGGGCTTTTTTTTTAGGATACAAGGTTAGGGTTACTGTTAGAGTTCATTTTGGTCTTCTTCTCGTTCATTAGATTCAGGTTAAGGTTACGATGAAGGGTAAGGTTAAGATTAGCCTTAGGGTTAGGATTAGGGTGAGGTTCAAGTAAGGGTTAGGGTGAGGGTTAGGGTTAAGGATATGAATAAGGTAAGGGTTAACGTTTGGGTTGTGAACACTTTTAAACATTCGGTTTTTGAGACTTTTGATTGATAATAATATTATACTTTTCCTGTTTTAGTATTTTATATTAGGTATCGATTCTGGCAGTGTCCATTTTTTTGTTTGGTCCCTTCGTGGTTGTCAGAGATCCAAGAATGAAAATCAAAATGTTGGCTCCTCCATGGTGGAGATGAATGAAGATAACGAGGACCTATGACCTTCAATCTTCATTCCCACCACCATTCTCTCTCTATCTCTCTAGAAAATCAAGAATCAAGGTGGCAACCCATATGAGAATGATTAACAAGACCAAGGTGTAAGCTCGAGTGTGGTTCCAGCAGTGAAAAACTCAAGACCAAAGAGTTTCATCTGACGAAAGTGAACAAGCTATAGAGTGAGGTCCATGTATCACCAAACTTCTTAGTAAATCTATTAGTGAAGCCACTCCGCATGCAAAGACCTGAAAAGGTTAAACAGAGCGATTTATTTTTAAAACAAGATAAAAACAAATAGTTCCATTTAACTTTTCAGATCTTCGCATGTGGGCCTTAAAGTTAGATGACCAACATAATCAGTTATCTAGAGCCCATTTATGAAGGCCACCTTTAACTTAAGGATCCGACACGTTTTCTTTGATGTTAGTCTTCAGTGGATTTAAAAAAATAATAGGGGGTTTACAGCATTTACCTAAAACATTAAAAAGGTGACCCATTCTCCTCAACACCGAAGTTTAACCTATACCTAAGAAACATGGACCAACAGATGGGCGAGTTCTTTTCGGACTCACGTAGATAAGATCAGATAAGATAAGTTAAGATAAGATAAGGTAAGACACATCTTTATTGTTCACATTGGTTTGATGTTTCATCACGCAAGCATCGACACACACACACACACACACACACACACACACACACACACACATACACACACACACACATACATGCACA